GCGCTCTCACTGCCCCCCCACGGTATCGGGCGGGGGGCTCTCACTGCCACACCACGGTATCGGGCGGGGGGCTCTCACTGCCACACCACGGTATCGGGCGGGGGGCTCTCACTGCCACACCACAGTATTGCTGTGTGTGTGGGCGGGGGCTCTCACTGCCACACCACGGTATTGCTGTGCCATTTTCTTGATCTTCACTCCTCTGTAAAACCTTTGCCTTTGGTTTAGTTCAACAAAACACCAGTGCTGATTATGCATTTCTCTTGGAAATATTGCATTTAAATACTACAAAATCGTGGTGAATGGTATCATTCTGAGGGTGAAATAGCAGTGAGTTACGAGACTGAAGCAGTGCCAAGGCCTTAGTGCAGGGGTGGCCAATCTTATCTGCAAAGGGCCGCTGTGTGTGCGGGTTTTCACTGCAACTCCCTAATTAGATTAATAATTAGAGGACTGATTGGCTGATGAGTCCTCACACCTGGGTTTGAACCTGCATACACACCGGCCCTTTGCAGATAAGATTGGCCATCCCTGCCTTAGCGTAACGAGTGTTAGGCAGAACAAAGGATTTTTATATGCATTTTACAGGAAACATGTATAATTCACACGATTGTTTCAAATAGCACATACGTCATGAACTGCAAACAATGGTAACTCTAGTTTCACCTGAAAGTATGACCGAAAAAAAAAGTATCCTCTGGAAACTTGTGTTGTGGTTATTTGCAGCGCGTTTACGAAGTTGCAGTTGTTTTCTGTATTTGCAGCGCATCTGTGAATGAGCAGCGCGTTTGTAAAATGTTGTTCACATATAGTCATTTTCATTAAAACGTTTTCTGAGTTTGTGAAGTGTCTATGAATTAGCAGCGTGTCTACAGATTCCTTATGAATTTGTATAACATGCTTTGTTGCTTTGCAGTGCATTTTTCTATTAGACGTGTGTTTCATTATTTTGAATTGCATTGGGCTCTTGGCCACCCCACAAGAGACCTGCAAAAAGACAAACACGCAGGATCACAACCTCCCCGATATTTATTCCTTGCTTCTCCACTCATGGTCATAAACATTAAGCACAATTTGGCGCCACCACTTTGACTCTGCACTCATGCACTGAAACAAAGTAAAAATCCAGTGAGATTATATATATATATTTAAATTGTATATTCTCAAATCTTTGCCTGACATTCACAAAGACGACTACAAATGGTGTTACAATGTCACATGTGCATAAACCAAACCAGAAGCTGACAGCTGCAGGTTAGATGTAATCTCCTAAGCACTGACCTGTGTACTCAGAACCTCCTGTCTGACTGTAACATAAACTGGGACATACAGGAACAAGGGTCCTCGCTGCTTTAGGGATGAGTGTATCTTGGGGACTCTGAATGAAGTGTGTGAGGTGAAGAGCTGTGTGTTTTGGCCAGCTTGCTCCCACGGTCGCTTCTCCCTGACGCGGGGTCTCGATCTCCCCGATGAAGACTCCTCAGAGATTAACTGTCGCCAAGGACTTAGCCACCTCGCTATCAGACTGCTCATCCTCCTCCTCTTCATCCTCCTCGAGGTCATCATCCTCTTCATCATAGTCTTCATCTGCACTGTATCCCTCCTGGTCCTCGTTGCCCCCGGCAGACAGATTCTTCCAGTAGGAGTCGTAGCCTGAGGCCTCAGACCCATCGTCCATCCCACTCTGACGGCCGAACTTCACGGTGCGAGCTGCATGGGCGATCGGCACCAGATATTTGCATGGGAGCCTGACAAGCTGTTACTGACCACATACTCACTGGACATGCTGAGGATGCCCTCCCCCTTCAAATACTCACTGGACATGCTGAGGATGCCCCCCCCCCCTTTCAAATACTCACTGGACATGCTGAGGTCTTTGGTTCCCTGCGTTTCATGGCCGCATTTGGGACAGGGGGGCGCCTTCCCCTTCTCCTGTTTGAACACTTTACTTCGCGTGTGATCGTCGCAGAAGCAGGCCTTCAAGGAAGAAGATGCCATCGTTAGGGGGGCGTGCGGGGGAGGATACGACAGCCGGGGGAAGAGAACGAAGCACCAACACACACTTACCTTGCAGCGCAGACAGGAGTGCTGGCCGAGACGGTTGCAGGAAACACCTACAAAAAAAGGGATAAAAGATCAGAGGCGAGGAGGGGGGCCATACGCAGGCGGGAGCGAGAGACGGGTCCCAGCAGGACGCTTCACGCACATTTGAATGTTTCAGCCTCCAGGACTTGGCAGCTGGCCTGGTGTTCAAACTGGTCATCCTCACACAGGAAATTCTGGCAGAAGGAGCAGCGAAATATCCTGCCCCCTGTGTTCAAGGGGAAGACAGCAACCGTCACTTTGAGCACAGGCCCCCTGAGGCAGCAGCGGCAGCGGGTGCCCTCCTCACCGTGCTCCCACACGCTGCGGTCGCACTCCACGCAGTCGGCGTCAGACAGTGGGCAGCTGCAGGCGTGGCTGCTCAGGCACTTCCTCCCGTGGCAGACCCACGCCTCACAGAAGTCGCACACTGCCCCCTAGAGGCACCAAATGTAAGCAGCGGGAATGCCAACAATATTCACCAACAAACCACCACATGCTGTGCAGTAGAACACAAATGCTACAGTGTTCAGGCAGTGTCTCCACACCACGACTTACCACCATGGCGAGGCCGGTGCTGTGCATGCCGGGGTGCTTGATGACACAGTCAGAGGACTTCATGCATTTAGTCTTCCCTTTACAGAAAACAAAGGAGAAGCTTCCATTTTCAACAAGGACACTTTCAGAGTGAACCATAGTGAGCACTCACTCATAACGAATATTAGCTGAACTGGTGAAGTAAACGTATTGCATTACATAAAGGGATATTTTACATTAAGAGACTGAAATTCTGGGAAAATTGACCTTGGGAAGTGTGTCTCAGAAAACAAAAATCTAAAATCCCTGGGTACATACCGGAACAGTACTGTGAAGTATATTCTGCTACAAATACGTACAGTGTGCAGTCACAATAAATTTGTTTTGTAAGCACAAGTAAAACGGCGGCATGGAAACAGAAGCAGAGATTTACGGCCTCACCGCACTGAGCGCACATCGGCAACTTCTGCACAGAGGCACAGAAGTAGCAGAAAGCCCGATTCTTCTGCCGCCTGGACAGTAAAGGAGAAGGGAATCCTCCATATAAATGTAGGGGGTCAACCACTGATGTCTGGACATCCTTTCAATTCATGACTCACTCAATGACTATGACAGCAGAGCCATAAAACAGATTTTTTTTGTCAACATATATTCTCTGAGAACTGAAGAGAATCATTCAAAGGAGCCACTTACCTTTGGCACTTGTCACATTCCTAGAAAACAAATGATTGGTGGTAAGGGTCACAAAACTGCTAGATGAAGAAGACAAAACTGTACAGTGACCTGCACAGGCTCCTAATGTGCAGGCTATATAATTTTACCACACTGACTTTCTAGAAAAAAAAATTACATGCATACCCTTGTGAACTGGGGTGGGGACAGTTACTGTCACTGTAAGAGAACATACCATTGACGTGTTGCTGGGGTGCTTTGCCACATCCACATGATCTCTGTTGGCGCGAATTTGCTTCTCTCGCTCTTTTCGGTTTTCGGCTTTCTTACGCGCACCCGTCTTTTTCTTCGGCATCCTTCACAGCTGGAAGATCTGAAACAAGGGCAGCACGTGACTTGGCAAGTTAAGGATCTATGTCTGTGTTTGGGGGGGGGGGGTTCAAATCCTTGGACCAGCGGAGTAATGATGGGCCAGCAGAGTAATGATGACCCATCATGCCCCAGGGATGTTGCCTGACCTGAGCTCTGAACCTAAAACCAGGTAGGGCATGTGAAAACCAAATAATTCCTATACAACCTGTACAAATGGCAAAGAAGAGTATCTTAATGGGGATCTCAGGCACCAAACAAGAATCCTCATACAAAACCGACACAACTGAGGACACGCATTATCTGCAATATCTTTTTCCTCAAAAATAATTCTGCTAACACACTACTTCAGAATATTGCCACGTAACATCAAGAATATAAACTGCCACAGTCTCACTGTCACCTTTATATATTCACTGCTGTCCTTAACCTATATGGCGAACTTACAATGTATTGCATCTAGTCCATCCTTACTGCAGCAGGGATATCTAACCATCCTGCAGCAGCTGGGGTTACGAGCCCGGCAGTGATAATATTACTCTGCCGGCCACAGGACTCAACCGGACACGGCCGCAGATGCCCGAGCCACTGAGCCACACGTCGCCTAGGGGCATAAACAGCACCCAGGGGGCCGTCCTCAGTCGCAATATTCCGACGATAACCTATATGGGGTGAATGCGAGCTCCGTCCCCCACGACCCTGACCGGGATAAGCGGTTTAAGCATGGACACCAGCACGATGTAAACCATTTTACTGCGTCACTCAACAGATGGTTTTAGACGATGCAACGGCGTGCACATCCATTTTTAGAGACATGAAATAAATAAGCCAAGTAACGTCATCCTACAGAAAACTACAACAGAGGGACAACACCTTCTTCAAGTACTGCTCCACTTCCCAGTATAGTAACTACAGTTCTTAACCTGGCGTCATACACTCCCTCCATTCTCTACTGTCTGACCTTCGTTTTGTCTATAATAAACAAATATCATGTAGTCAGATAAGTATTTTGTGGCTTAAACACGACACGACACGTTAACGTTACCTCGAGTACCCAGCAGTCCGCACCTATATAAAAACCGTCGACCCTCACGGGGAACTGGCGCGATGCACTTCCGGTCCGCTTTATTTACGCTCCGGATTGTGACTAACAGCTCTGGCACATTCAGTTCCGACCTCTGAGAATACCTTCGCCATTCGATGCTAATGCAGCCCGTCTCTAAAGAAGGTATATAAACACTTATATAAACTGTCAGAAGGATGCATTTTATTATTTTTCTTGCTTCCCGTAGAAATAAATAAACATGAAGTGTAATTGATCTCCCCTAGGTGGCGCTATCGGAACCCCCTCCGAACACAAACAGAATTCTCGACATTGGAAGCCGAGCTCCAGGCAGCGACTGCGGCGTTTTATGGGAAGCCAAGTAAAAATAGCAGTAAACCAAGCTGGTTCAGAAGGTATTTACGGTGTCTGGCCGCGGCGCTGACATGGCTGGCTCCCTGCTCCGAGCCTGCCGCAGCCTGGCCCTATCCTCCTGGCTGCTCTCCTTCTGCTTTGTGCGCCTGCCGTGCCTGGACTTCACCGTGGCCGAGAAGGAAGAGTGGTACACTGCGCTGGTGAACATCACGTACCGGGACCCGCGGAGCTCGGAGGTGCACACGGAGCGCACCGAGTGCGGCCGCTACGGGGAGCAGTCCCCAAAGCAGGAGGCCCGCGGCGTGTTGGCCATGGCCGTACAGCCGCGGGACCGAGAAGCGTGCGAGCATGGAGCCCGCTTCGCCGTGCCGCCCCACGCCGCCGCCTGGATCGCTCTGATCCGCCAGGGAAACTGCACTTTCCGAGAGAAGATCCGCAACGCCGCCGGCCAGAACGCGACGGCCGTGGTCATCTTCAACGTGGGCTCCACCAACGACACATTCACCATGCCCCATCCAGGCAAGTCCTAACCCTACTCCAACCCTAACCCCTCATCATGCCCCGTCCGGGTAAGTGCGCCTATGCATTTGGGGTCTGCTTCCTAAACGTGATCCAGCCCTAACCCCTTCGTACCATACTCCAGTCTTGACCCAGCGCTGGCCATTCGCTGCTGTTTACTGTGTGTTTTATCTAGTGGTTGACCCTGACTGTGGCGTAACTCCGATGTGTAATGGCTTAACGTAAGGATGCTATTGGACATAAACCAAAGCGGCCGGGCTTTCTGTCGCCCCTCTGCCTGCTGCATAGCCCGCTCAGGCTTGACGGATCCACGCTGTCATTTAATCTGTGTGCATCGATTGACGCTGTAAATGAATAATATGGGCATCTGGCCGGTCGAGGCTTGCGGGGGAGGTTATTCTTGGACTGACCGCATCTAATCTTATTGCTGCCGCTCTGTCTGCCTGCCTGCCCGTCCTGTGCGTGGCTTCCCTTTATAATCTCCTTTTATTTGCTGACCGCTGTCCCCTACATGCCGATAAGCTGTCAGTGAGGTCACTGTTTGATCCGTACGGGTCTGACCGTAGGACCGTCAAGTGTTGCTTTGGAGTTAATAAAATATTTATAGCAGGACATTCAGAAGCTTCCGTACTGTAGCTATAGAAGACGAGTAGTCTTATTTAAATGAGAGGAAACGTGGTTTGTTTTTAAATTTGGGGAGCTGCCAGTTTCTCTTAGCACTACCAGAACTTTACGGTGACGTCAGCTTTAAAATAAATTCTGTAAGGGAGTGTGAGGGATCTTCCAGCTAGCTTCTGCAGACCACATGCTGACGGGCTTTTCCCAGGTCAGATGAAAAGCTGGTAGGAGTATTCATGTGTAGAATTCCTGCAGAAAATGTGCACAAGTTTAATGGTTACTTTGCTTGTGTTTGATCTTACATTCTTTAAGCTACTTGGACCTTCAGTAATGGAAAAAGTGCAGTGATGTGTGTTAATTTGGCATTTTCAGCTTATGGGCTGTTGGTTCGGAGAGCCGGTGAAATGCACAGTAACTGTTTATTTACATGAAATCAGACTTGCTTTTCTCTGTTTCACTTACTCCCTGTCTTGGATATATGAATGAGTTGATTGAAGGTCTGCTGAACCTTCAGTTTCCTGTGTTAGTGCTACTAGGATCTGAACACTATGAACACACTAATGATATCCCAAAACGCAAGGCCTTTCTGAACACGCTGAGGCTGTCCTTAATGCTTTGTCTTTCTGAAAGCCTCAACATTACGCCTTTCCAAACACATTGAGACTGTCTCTCGGCCTGATGCCTTTATGAAAGCACTGAGGCTCTCCCTTGGCGTGACGCCTTTATGAAAGCACTGAGGATCTCCCATTGCATGACGCCTTTATGAATGCTGTCCCTCGGGGTGACGGCATTCCGAACGCACTGAGGCTCTCCCTTAACGTGACACCTTTCCGAACGCACTGAGGCTGTCCCTCGGGGTGACGCCTTGTGCTGGGATTTTACTGGTGCAGTGTGACAGCTCCTCTGTGTCTGACTGGGCTTGGATGGTGCTGGTGCAGTGTGACAGCTCCTCTGTGTCTCACTGGGCTGGAATGGTGCTAGTGCAGTGTGACAGCTCCTCTGTGTCTGACTGGGCTTGGATGGTGCTGGTGCAGTGTGACAGCTCATCTGTGTCTGACTGGGCTGGGACGGTGCTGGTGCAGTGTGACAGCTCCTCTGTGTCTCACTGGGCTAGAACGGTGCTGGTGCAGTGTGACAGCTCCTCTGTGTCTCACTGGGCTAGAACGGTGCTGGTGCAGTGTGACAGCTCCTCTGTGTCTCACTGGGCTGGAACGGTGCTGGTGCAGTGTGACAGCTCCTCTGTGTCTCACTGGGCTGGAACGGTGCTGGTGCAGTGTGACAGCTCCTCTGTGTCTGATGCTGGTGCAGTTTGACAGCTCCTCAGTGTCTCACTGGGCTGGCATAGTGCGGGTGCAGTGATTTGTTTCTCCTTCTGCAGGCGGAATTTGCAGACAGCAATAGGGCATGAAGCCTCCTGCTTCTCCTGATACATCACAATAGAATATCTGCGCTTTATCTGTCCCTGTAAGAAAAAGGGGTCTGTGCCATAGACGCCAACTTGCTCTCTCTGGGAGAGACAGACATGCATACAGATAAAGGTGGGAGCAGGTTAGGCGTCGGATCGCAGGCCAGCCCGCATCCAGGATTCCTGCCGCAGTTCAGTTTAAGGGCCTTTCACTCAGAGGACATCCCTGTGCCATATTACTCCTGGTGTTCTTGGGGATAATTTGCTGTGCACCATGTCCGGACTTCAGGGCCAGGGACTAATTGCGTCCTTTTTAGAGGTACTGTGCAGGAGCGTCCCGGGCGGCGCTGGGGGCACATGTCAGTTTCCTGCTACCCTGCTACATGTTCGGTTACATAAACACGAGTGCTGAGTGTGCTGGCTTCACATGTCGGGCTGGGATCGCTGTAGCAAGGAGGGACAGTCAGCCTGGCTGTGAATATCACTCTTGGGTGCAGCTGATGTGGAGATTGTGCTTCACTCTTCCATTAATACTCTCACATCATTACTCTCACATCGCTATTACTGTCCTATCACGTAATTTCTCTTTACATTATTACTCTTCATAATAATACTCTGACATTGTTACTCTTGTATCACATTATTGGTCTTCACATTAATGCTCTCGCATTTATACTCCTCACTTGGATTTTGTGCTTTTTCCTGCCAACTTGCGATCATCTCTTCATTCCTTGTTTATTAAACCTTCTTGAATGCTGCCATCATAAAGCTCATAAGGCTCAGCTGGCCTGGCTTATTCATTCCATGGCTTGAGGTCTAAAGCTTGATAGTATAGTATGCACGCCGGCTGTGTTGGATAGGAAGCCCAGCACCAGCGTGTGCAGCTGCTCCCGGCCCGCATCTCTGTTCTCGGGCCATTCGTCTCGGGTCCCGTGTCTCAGGCGCTGGCTGCCCTCCTCCTCTGCTCTCAGGCACTGGGGACATCGTGGCCATCATGATCCCCGAGTACAAAGGCAGGAAGCTGGTGGCCTTGTTGGAGCAGAACGTGACCGTGACAGTGCACATCGCCGTCGGCACCCGCAACCTGCAGAAGTTCGTCAGCCGCACCTCCGTGGTCTTCGTTTCGATCTCCTTCATCGTGCTCATGATCATCTCCCTGGCTTGGCTCGTCTTCTACTACATCCAGAGGTTCCGCTACGCCAACGCCCGTGACCGCAACCAGGTAAGGCCCGGCCTGGTCTCCGGGAAAGCCCCTGAATATCCAGGGTGTATTGGTGACATGGCAGTGACTGCTTCGTGCTTACTGGCAGTCCTTAGACGATAACATGGGGCAGCGCGTGGCAGCCTTTCCTTTCTGCTTCACCTCCAAGACACTGCAAGTGTGCTGTCACTGCCTGTGGCGCCACCTGGTGGGTGGCTGATGGACCCCCTGGGCTTTGGCAGATCCCAGTTCAGTGACTCTAGCTGTTTTAGCTCAATGCAGTGTGTTCATGCTGTTCATTCTGTCAAGCACGTTTCCCTGAGATATTTCAGCACTTGATTTGTTATTTTGGTGTGTATCAGCAAGTCGTTTTCTCATTGTCTGTGACAATATTTGCAGTTGCATTTGAGTTCTGTAAAACTGAGCTGCATTGGACATAATAATGCTCCGGGTCATTGAACTCTGTTTGTACCTGCTCCCCCCCTCCCCCGTCCCATGCAGAGACGCCTTGGTGATGCAGCCAAGAAAGCCATCAGCAAGCTGCAAGTCCGCACCATCAGGAAAGGAGACAAGGTAATGGCATGGTTGGTTCCGGTGGGGTCAGGTTGAGCGGGAGCTGTGCTGAGCAGACATGCATGTCAGCTGTTAGCGTATGGGCGGTTATCCATTAGCGTATTGTCGGTAAGCCGTTAGCGTACTGGTGGTTAGCAGTTAGCCTATTGCCGGTTAGCAGTTAGCGTACTGGTGGTTAGCAGTTAGCCTATTGCCGGTTAGCAGTTAGCGTACTGGCGGTTTGCCGTTACCATATAGACCTCGGTGTCTCTCTCCTCATGAAATATGTGAGAGATCATGGTTTCCAGCTGGTCCACATGCTGTGCTGTAATGCCATGTGAGAATGTCATCATGATGGCTTTACATGTTGTGATGATGGTTTTATTACATGTTATTTATGTTATATTTATGTCATGTTCAGCTGCGCCATAAGAGGAAGGCAGCTTCCCTGTGTTCAGCACTATCCTGCCAGCTGGTCACGTTATGTACGTTATGTTTGCGTTATGTTTAGGTTATGTTTACGTTATACTTGCGTTATGTTTACGTTATACTTGCGTTATGACGCTCTCCAGCCACGCTGAAACAGGAGGGCAGCTTCCCTGTGTTCAGCACTCTCCTGCCAGCAGGCTGGTGACCAGCTGCTTATTTTGGTCGGTAATGTTGGGTCTGCAGCTACACAGAGACTAAAAGTAGTGCTACTGCAGTCATTTCAGTATAATTGTAGGGTGACTGAGGCCGGCTCCTCTGACAGGCATCATGAAAGCACGTAACCTGTGGGAACATCATGAAGTCCGTGTTACAGCTGCATGTCTCCCCTTCAAACGGACGCCCAGTCTGACGGACCTCCTCTACACACTGTACACTGGCTCTCATTTCAGGAGACAGACTTTGATTACGACAACTGCGCAGTTTGCATCGAAGGCTACAGACCTAATGATGTGGTTAGGATATTACCATGCAGGTAAGGCGTTCCCCTTTCCCATCATGCCTCTCTTCACTGCCTACAGAGCATCTGTTGTAGCGCCCCTGTATCCCTGCAGCTGGGAATCCTGCCGGTCACAGCTGACCACAGTCTGTCCCGCTGGTTTTCCATTTTGAATGGTCGTCCCTGAGAAGTGCCCCTCCACCCCTGAAAGTGACTACTTTCTGCTCCCAGGCACCTCTTCCACAAGAGCTGTGTGGACCCTTGGCTGTTGGAGCACCGCACGTGTCCCATGTGCAAGATTAACATCCTTAAGGCCCTCGGCATTCCTGTATGTCCCGTATTCCTCTCTGTCTGTCTGTCCATCTCTCTCTCTCGCTCTACTTCCTCAAATGTCCCTCTCACCCTGGTGGTGTCTGTCTGTCCATCTCTCTCTCTCACCCTTCTTTCTCATATGCCCCCCCACTCCCCACCGCCTGTCCTCACACCCCGCCAATGTCTCTCTCTCATTCTTCTGTCTCTCCTCTCCCTGGTGGTGTCCATCTGTCTGTCTCCCTCTCTCCTCACCCTGCCTATGACGGAGCGCCCCTCTCGCCTCTCCCCAGCCCAACGCTGACTGCATGGACGACATCCCCCTGGACTACGAGACCTCGGTCGGGGAGCCGCCCACCAGCCTGCCCACCAGATCCAGCAGCCTCACCCTAAACGAGAGCTCCGTCATTCTAGACCCGGCAGTGCGCTCTGTCGGACTCCCTCGCCTCTACCGTGACTCGGAGCTGCTGTCCCAGGCTGGAGAGCGCCTCATGATGGCCAGCAGTAAGTGTGTGGCCCAGCAGGGGGTGTTGTATTAATTTATTATGTGTTTGAATCCTGATCTGGTTGCTGGCTTCTTGGTGTGGGTGCAGAAACGTCACCGTAGAGCAGATGTAGCCACAGTTCAGGTGTTGCGCAGATGGCTTTGCCTGAACGTCTGACGCCTGAGCAGCCTGACCTGGCCCGTCCGTGCGGCGGGATGTTTGAGCCTGTTTAATCTGCTGTTTCCTGTCGGCTGGGCTGAGCATTCCCCGGGGAGGCCAGCTGACTTTGTTTGTGAATGGAGTGTAGGTAATGTAGCCTTTGTCAGAGCGCCGCCTACAGACGCGGCTCTGTTTGTTTTGTAAGACTACATGTGAGGTGTGAGTTCCCCTGTGTGGAAGGGACTCTTTTTATCTTACCCAGGCAAAAAAAAAAAACACAAGGTCCATTAGTAGCAGGGACTGCTATTCCCACCAAACTGGCTGGCCATTCCGTTTACTTAGGGCTGTACTTTCCGGTGGAATTACCTCTGTAAAACAAGGCTGCATTTTCTAGTAATTGCAGGCGGCCCCCCTCTGGTATGCAGTGGGTGTGGGAAATTTCAGACGTAAAAGAGAAGCCTCACTCGGGTGTCTGGTCTCCAGAGCCTGCCCCCGACTCCACAAGCCTTCATCATTTGATTGAGTGGTTTTGCAGAAACATGTGGGGTTGGTTCCTAATGATTCCCTCTGCTGCTGAAATTCCTGAAGCACGGGCGTGTTGCTCTACGCTCCCCTGATGCCTCATTACAGCCTCGCCACTTGACTGCGTATGAGGCTATAGGAGCTCCGCCCCTTTCCTGGGTCCTGCAGCGAGGGAGACCCCCGGGCGTCCTGCCTGTGCCTGCACCCTCAATCCTCACCTGCTACTATTGACTAGCTAGCAGTATCACGTTAGCTTAATGATAGTCATTCACATGTGAACATGCTTGTGCTTCTCTTGTGCAGGCTCCGTCCTGCGAGCGCATTCTCGGGCTCCGTCCTGCGAGCGACTCTTACAGTGGTATTTGACTGCAGACGTGGCATGGTGTAACTTCCCCCCCCCGTCCTCTCCCCAGGCGATCCACAGTCTGCCTCCAGCAGTGACCTGGATGACTCCTCAAACCCGCCCCTGGAGGCGGGCCTCTCTGACCTGGAGCCAGCCTCCACACCAGCACCGGAGGAGCTGAAATCCTGAGGCGCTGCTGTGCCGAGGGCATGTGCCCGTCGCCCGCGAAGGGGGATATGCTTTACTAGAGGACGTCAGGCCGGTTTTCCGTATCACTGCTGGGTCTCGCTGGCCGTGTGGAACCAGAACTCCATCCTCATTCAGACTGTTGAGCCGCCCTGATCAGTATCCGGCCCCCCTGGCCTGGATTCCAGCCCCTCCCCCC